ACAAATTACACCACAATAAGCATGTTTTCAAGGGGAAAACAAGAAATTAATTACTACAACCTAGGACTACACAATTTAAGTAAGCCCCTACCTCATAGATGCAAAGCCCTAGCTTAGTCTAAGCTTGAACTCCACCAAATCAAAAGGTTGAACCATCAAAATGAAGAGAAAGAAAAGGCGAACAACATTCCTCTTGGAGCTACCCCAAAAGCCACCAACTTGCCTTGGCCGAAATCTCAAGAATGCTTCAATGGCCTCCAAAATCACATCATCTTGTAGATCAAGAGATGCTCTGCAACTTCTCTAGCTAACCCCCATTCCAAATCCAAGCTCTAGGGATTTCAAGAATTTCAATGTAGTCAAATCTCTAATTTTTCACCATGGTTGTATAGAGAAGAAGGAGATGAACAACTTTCCTTTCATGGGTACACTCAAAATCAGAAACCAAGGCCCTCAAAATGAAGTTTTTCTAAACTCATCCATGGAGGATGATATGTATAAATATAGAGAGAGAATGTGTGGGGAGGAAGAAGGTGAATAGTGGGGAAAATTGCCAAACCCCTCCTATTTATAAATCCCCCATAACTTCCACTATTTACGCCACTTAATCCCAAATTTCCACAGCTAATTACTCCCTTCCTCTAAGTAACTTTCCTAAAATTACTTTAAGACAATAATCTACCGAAAATATAATAATGATGCCCTCCAGTGGTCTTTCACTTAAGCCATTCCCATAGACTTAAGCCACCCTAGACCCACATGGGATCCCCCCGATTCAAAACTCGAAAATGACTGAAATGGGTCGAAATGCATTTATAAGAGTTATAAACTCAAAGAAATGCCCTAAATGACTCTCGGGGCCCACACGACATGCTAATCGGCGCCTAACATGCAAAACGAGGTGTTGAGAAAAATGAAAATCGAAAAAAAATCTAGAAAAATCCAGGACGTCACACGTTTATATTTCATTTTGGGACTCATTAGAATGCTTATCAATGGCTTCGAGGTGACCAAGAATCATTCTACAGGTCAAAAGACCAAAGTGTAGAGTACAGTATGGTTTCGGTCGACGTCTAGATCCCATACGTCGATCGGTATCTCTTGGATCACTATAACATAGTAGGAATTTTGGGAATTTGCAGTTTTTGGTCGACGTATCCTTTCCTCACGTCGACTAAGTTGGCCATTTTGGTCGACATGTGAACTTTACACGTCAACCTGTAGTTGTTATTTGCTTCCCAGTTCAATTTTGACCCTTCTCTCTTGACATATGGTACTTAGGGATGCATCGTACAAGTGTAGTTGTGTTTTGAGACTTCATTTATTGTCTCGTTTATTCCATTTGACCATCTTACCCCTTGCTTTAATCATTCTTGGGATTATTTCCATCCGTTTATTCTTTGCTTCCATATTCATTTTGTGTAAGGTCTTGTTGACTCATTTGAGATTCTCTTGCTGTCGTAGAGGCAATGTTTGCCTCTAACGACCTCTTCATCTTGTTCTCGCTTCCGCATTTTGGAGTCATTATCGGGTCGGCTTTGGGTCTTTCAGTTGGTGCACTGATTTATGAAATTTAGGGTCATTACACACCATCCCTTCCTTCACCGACGTGTCACAATCAAGGACATCAACATAGAACCCAACACCTCTATCTCCATCTAAATCTTCCTCCCTAACACATGTTTAGTCTTTCTAGATTCATAATTTCATATTCTAAATTGAAATTAAAATCTAGGGTTAGACTTATACTGAAAAGGCCCAATCTTGAATTAGACTCTGCTCCTAACGATCTGAATCACGCATTTCTCCGTGATAACAACCATGGCTTGTTCGGGATTGCTATTGATTTAGTTGTGGGTTTATGAGTAGGAGCAGTGATTCGATAGCGAACGATTTCTTTTGCCACCGAATAGCAAAGATGTGTGAGATGTGATTGTGTTGGTTGGAGGGTGAGATTGATGTCAGCATTGTCGACTAGGAGAAGGCCTTTGGAAATCAGCAAAGTTGTCGATGATGATGGTTCTTCGGAGGCATTGAGGGCGGACAAAGCATTGGCAACGATGGTGGAGATAAAGAAAGCCTTCAACACTTGAGATCTTGGTTTTGCAAGGGCTTCTTGGCGACGCCAAAAACCCTTTCTACCTCGTTATCTGGTGTGCCGACATCGGTCAACTGTGAGGAGGACGATGATAAGAACAGCAATGCCGATAATCCAACAAATGCTGCAATAACAACAACTATGGATCGGTTTCGTCGACTAGGTGTTGGAGTGGGACCTAATGGCTCAAAGCCCAAGAACTCGCGGCGATTATTATGTTCTCGGCGATCAGTGTTGGCATAAGTCCATTCATAAGTCAAAGGGTAATAAGGTACTTTTAGCTTAATTTGGGGGTGTCATTGTTCAATTTACCAAACTTGGAGAGTGTTATTGTCCAAATAGTGACTGAATTGTAGGGGGGTTGGGGGGAAGGGTGAGTACAATTTACCACCAAAAAAATAAAAGGGTAAAGTACATAGACACCCCCTGAGGTTTGGACAAAGGACAAGCATATGAAAGTTGGCCTGTTTTTGGACAAACACACCCCCTTGTGAAATTTGCCCTCCAAACAAAGCCTTTAATCATGTGAAAAGTCCACTTTACCCTTCACTATTTTATTAATTTTAATTATAATATATTAAAAACATAAATGGCCAAATTACCCTTTTCATCTCTCTCTATATATACTTATATATATATATATATATACACCAACAACCAGTCACCACCGCCCCTAATCTCCATAATCACCAACCCTCAACCTCCATAATCACCACCCCCTAAAGAAGACGCCAAATAGGAGCTCTGCTACCGCCACCTCCTCGAACTCGCCGGAGCTTAGCCTCGGTTCGGGCGGCCAACTCTGCCTCGGACAAGTCGAGTTTGACCGAGATTGACATAGACGTTCCCCACACCGGCGTCTCTAATTCTTAACAGTGGCAGAGAGTTGATTTTGAGCCTGGCATACAGCGAAGATTTAAGGATGAGATCGGTGCCGCCGCTGCCACCACCACCACCACCCTCTTCCCCTCTCTCTCTATACACGCGCGCGCGCGCGCACACACATATATATCACCCATCTACGCACATCACCATCCCCAGTTCTCATCTGCGCACGGAAAGGGCTCTAATCGGACTTAAATCGGACGGCAGAGGCGATGGCCACTTCAGCCTCCTCGGCCTTGCAGGTGACGGTCGCCGGACTGTGTTTAACCTTGTCGTCATCGGAGCTTGGTCCTCGCCGGATTGTTTCTGCTCGTCGGTCTCTTGTTACTCGGTTTCTAAACCTCGCCACACTGTTCAATCCATGGCCGCATCGTCATCAGAGCTTGGTCCTCGCCGGTAATTTCAAGGTTTCGCCGATGCTTTTGGGTTTCGCCACCACTATCGCAGTCATTGCCGCCACCCCCACTGTCGCAGCCATCACCACAATCTCTCTCCTATCTTCTTCCTCTCTCCTCTTCACCTCATCTCTTCAGCTATGACCACCCCTCTCTTCCCCCCTCTCTACACCCACCATCGCAGTCACAAACCACCATCCATTTGATCTCCCTTCTCTCTCCTCTGGTGAACTGTATAATATACACATAGGCGGGTTCAGGTTGGGTTTCAGGTTTGGGTTTAATCAAAGGGTATTTAAGTCAATTAAAATGTTAATTTTATTTGAAAGGGTAATAAGGTCAATTCACCATTTTCAGGGTCTCTTTGTCCATTTTTCAAACTTGAAGGGGTGTCATTGTCCAAAAACAGGCCAACTTTCCTCTACTTGTCCTTTCCCCAAATTTCAGGGAGTGTCTTTGTACTTTACCCAAAATAAAAATAAAAAATTTAAAGTTAGATTTGGGTCTTCTGGTTTATCTATTTTAGATTTTGTTTTCCTTGGAGTAGTTACTTCTTGTGTGCTAGTTCTTAATATTTGCTGTTAATGGTGCGGTCACTTCTTCACCGCCGCTGTTTTCTTAGTATCGTACTATATATAATTTGAAACTGAAATCCAATTAAACTTATGTTGCATTTTAAAACTGAAATTCAATTAAACTTATTTTGCATTTGGAAGCACCCAATCGCGCTTTGAATTTGAGCTTGAATTTGGAATCAGATAAAATTTAATTAAAAGTTTGAACCGAAGCACCAATTCGAAGCTCCCATACATATCATTAGAATTCTAAAGTAGATCTAACCAGTGAATTTGGAATTGAATTCTTGGAATTGCAATTCCAACTGCATTCGATAGAGATGAAAAGGAATCAAGATACACAATCAGATGCTGCTATATCCCATAACTGAGAAGGAAAAGAAGTCTCCCATATGCATGAGCTGTAAAGCCAACTGACCAAGCAACAACATTTCCCTCTCTTCACCCAGCTCTGGCTTGATAAGGGTGCAGGTTTAAAAAGAAATTAATGTTCTGAATAACAGCAATTGAGTCATGAAATATATCCAACTCCAAAATTGCTCAGCTCTGCAATCTCCTTCAATTTTTACTGAATCATATCCCCACTAAAGCACTTGCTTGGCCACTAAAGTTTCAGCAGTCATTGCTGAAGCAACATGGCCTCGAAACAAAATAGCCGCCTTTAAAAAATCTCTGAAACTTCCACCAGCAGCCACTACATTATCCTTCTGATAAGTAGCATCATAGTTCATCTTCAAATCATCCAACATTGGACCACATCTACCCACTCTTTCAGTTGCAACCTCAGTCACTATATCTTTCTGCACTACCAATTAATATTCTTCCACTGATGCAATGTAATTGAGATGCTCTCATGCTCATTAATGAGAACTTATTTCTGCATTTCCTTATATCCCACAAAATATAGGGCAACCAGACTCGGATAATCCCAATCTCATCACATTTACACATGTTCATTAATATCAACCATTACCTAATACTAGCATATATATTTGGCAGATACGAATAAGACATGAACCCCAAGCACTCTTTCACAAAATAAACATCTAACCGAAAGTTTTTTTTTTTACAAAAAGGAAACAATTTAAATGATTTTATACAACCGGAATTCACTACATAATGTGTACAAAGTGGCAGCTCTGCTTTCAGAATAAAAATAGCAGCAGCCTGATTCTTTTCGCCTAATAAGGATCAAGAAGAGCAGCCTCTTCTTCCTGCCAAAAATAAATAAAAAAACAAACAAAAAAAAAGTGAATGAGCTGCATTCAATTATGAATGTCTCTTCTGGGCAGAAAGGGAAAAAAATACCACTAAGGCGTTAAACTCAGTCTCCTCATCAATGGCACTTATTATGGCAGGGTCGTCCAACAGATCCTGTTTTGAAGCAAGAAACAAGACATAATATGAAGTTTCATTTGTTGAGATACAGCAGCTAATGCTTAATATTAGCTTATTCTAGATGAGACACAGCACCTTGTGGGGTTCTTTCTCGTAAGAGAGAAGGCTCAGTGTTTCAAGAGCAACAAAGTGTAGTACAAGAATAGTTAAAATAATCAAAGCCATACAGGCAAATAAGCACAATGCAAACACATTATACATAAACTAGTGATATCTCCTCCCAACCAGACAATTTACTTAAACGGACCAGAGTTAACAGCTAAGCATTCCGGATGGTGGCCCAAACAATAAACTCAATTTATTCAAATATAGGTACTCAAAAATCCTATTGCCCACTGTGTTGTCAGGGGCTTATTTGTTATTACTTATATAATGTTGGGGCTTATGTGTAATTTCTGAAACTTCTTATTATAAATAGAATGTGGTGGAAGGATGAAAGTATTGTTTCATTCTTTCTCTCTTTCCCCATCTCTCTCTCTCTTTTTCTCTCATCCGCTTTCTTCTCTTTTTCTTCTTCTTTATCACTTACTCTTGATTTGATTATATCTTAAAGTCACCACACTGAATTATAAGAAAATAAAAAGAAAAATAGTTCAATTGGGCTTGTTCGCCTAGACGTGTGTTCGACACTTCATGGTTGTGTCCATAATTTAAAAATAATTTATATTATTTCGTACACTTGGCCGACATATGTCGAACCCTTGTCAACACATTCCAGACACTTCCAACATATCCTACACTCTTCGTCTTGTATAAAATAAACACATAACAATCCAGGAAACAACATTGTGAACATACATCAGAGTGTCCAACCTCTTTTTCTTTAAAACATTGACATTAAACACATGTTATAATGACAAGATAAGAGTGTAATATCATATATAATATAATGTACTCTTTTTTATATTTGAATAGCTTCATCTTCTAACTTAAGTAACTTTAGTATAGAAATTATCAATTAATTAAAGTTCTATAATTGTCTTGATCAATAGAAATATAAATGAAGAATTACATTTATATTAGTGGTGTCCACACCGTGTCCATGTCCTACATTTTTAAGATTTGACGTGTTGGCATATCCGTGTCATATCGTGTCCGTGTCCGTGCTTCTTTTTTAAGATTTGACGTGTTGGCATATCCGTGTCATATCGTGTCCGTGTCCGTGCTTCTTAGACCTCAACTACAATCCTTAAACATCATTGGCACATCAAAACTTACCAACCCTAATTTTGTGACACCCGATTCTCAAAATTATAAATATTTAATAATGTCAGAACCTCATATCATGCAAACATTTCTAAACCTTAATTTAAGTTGAGGAATGCCCTGATTTCCCAAAGTTCCAGGAGTATCGAAATAATGTGCAACCATAAGAACCATGGTAGGAAGGGCTACTAAAATGAAAAGGTTCATTAAATGCTTCGTAATCTAATTTTACAGTGTAAGAAGAAGTGCTAAAACACCATTCTTGAAAAGTTAGTGAAATAGTTTAACAACAAAAAAACATTACAAAAAGCAATTTAATTAAGGCAACACAATAATCTCCATACAAGTGGGAATTCCTCACAAAAGGATAATAAGCACGGTGAGAGAATGTGATAACAGTAAACAATATCTATTCAAAAAATAGGATTGCTTACATCATCAACAATTTGCAATAGGCCGTTATGATCCTGCATTGAGAAAAAAACATGTAGGAAAGAGAAAATGAAACTTCATATGTTCTGCTTCAAACTCAAACACAGGAAACTCAAGAATTAATGAGGGAAAATAAGTTATTCTAAGTATAGAAATTTTGAAATTGCTAACGGGCTCTCCAAAACTAGCAAACGGGATTGAGTAAGAAATAAGAGAAGGAAAGTATGGCTTGAAATCAGGAAAAGCAATACAAGTTTTCTTATGTTATGCATATGAGAGCTGATTGTTACCTTCATTGCAACAAACAGTAACGGGTCAGATGGTGTATAGATCATGTAGTGGCTACCATCCTGCATGGAAGAAATTTTAAGCTCGTATCAATTTATCATCATTAGCATCAAATAAGATAAATCTTTTCTTATGGCGTCATTATAATGTCTGGCTAAATTGATGTAACAATATCATAATACAAAATATAAAATACCATTCGTAGTAGCTGTTCAGATATGAGATATAGAGAAATACACAAATGGTGCCAATAGCCCAAGCTTCTAATAGTACAACTGACACCAAAAATGTTGGAAGAGATTGAATATGAAGGAAACAGAGCATATCATTAATACACAACTTCTCCAAGAATTATGAGGTTTAATAAGAAAGAAGAATCGAAATTTCGACATTGTTTCAGTTGAGTGTAAAAGGCTCTTGTAAAGCCACAAATTCTCATTAGACATACTCCTAATTTATATTACACACTGAATATTACATAAAGCAGAAAGTAAATCAAATCACTGATCCTATGCCTCTAATAGGCAAACGATGAAAATTATATCATATAAAATCAAATTAAGATCAGATCAAATCCCTATATTTTCTCCCAATACTACCCCTCAAGCTGGACGGAAGACATCGACTAAGCCCAGCTTGCCAATACCAGAGTGAAGAACAGATTGTCCTATTGACTTTGTGAACATATCGGCAAGCTGATTAGTAGAAGAAACAAAAGTAGTATGGATAACTCCACAACGCACTTTCTCCCTGAGAAAGTGAATATCAACCTCAATATGCTTTGTCCTCTCATGAAGAACTGAGTCAGATGCAAGCATAATAGCAGACCGGTTATCACAAAAGAGTGTTGATGGACTAAATATAGGGAATCCTAGCTTAGTCAATAGGGAACGAAGCCAAAGGATCTCACAAGTCACGACGTTATGTTTTTTACTTTTCCAGGAAATTAAATTGCCCCCATGAATAATGTTTTTTCACTTTTCCAGGAAATTAAATTGCCCCCATGAAAAGTACAGAAACCGGAAATAGAGCGACGAACAGTCAGAGATCCAACATAATCAGCATCGGTGTAGCACGAGATAAGAGGTTGTGGTGTGGATCTGTAGAATAGACCAAGTCTTGGGCAAAACTTAAGGTATCAAAGAATTCGGTATACTGCATCTAAGTGTGAGGTCCGAGGAGCAGGCATGAACTCACAACACTAACCGCAAATGTGAGATCAAGTCTAGTGGTCGTTAGATAAATTAAGCGGCCAACAAGGCGCTGATAAGCAGACGGATCTGGGAGAAGGTCTCTAGACTCGGCACGATGCCGATGCGTCTAATCCATAGGAGAGGAAGCAGGATGATACCCAAGCATACCAGTGTCCTATAGGAGTTTTAGTGCATACTTTCGTTGAGAGAGCGAAATGCCATGCCTAGAGCGTGCAACCTCAATACCAAGAAAAAATCGAAGAGGACCTAAGTCTTTAACCTCAAAAGTCTGCCCAAGATCTATTTTTACCTTGTCAATAAAGGGTTCATCATTTGTTGTAACGATTTTGTCATCAATATATACTAAGATATGGCAAAACAATTTTCTGGACTACGACAGAAGAAACAGGTGTGATCTGAGTGACATCAAGTGAACCACATAGAAATAACTACATTAATTAATCGGTGAAACCATGCCCGAGGTGACTTCTTCAGTCCATATAAGAATTTTAGAAGGCGACAAAATTTCCCAGAATACTCCCCCTGAAGCCGAAAACCAGAGGAGGATCTATATAAATTTCTTCTGTCAAATCCCCGTGAAGAAAGGCGTTCTTCACATCTAGCTGGTGAAGAGACCTAGAGTAGCAAGCCGCTAAGGAAATAAGAAGGCAGACAGTAGTCAGCTTGGAGACCGGAGCAAAAGTGGCATTAAAGTCTTCCTCGGAGTTTGTGTAAATCCCTTCACGACCAACCTAGCTTTGTGGCGATCAACAATACCATATGGTTTATATTTAACTGTAAATACCCATTTACAGCCCACAATCCTCTCTCCTTGTGGTAAAGTAACAAGCTACACGTCTTATTTTTCTGCAAGGCATCCATCTCAACAGCCAAGGCTATTGTCCAATGTTAGTCTTGCAAAGCCTCATATACAGTTCGAGGGATGGAAATAGCTGAGGTGGCAGCAAGGTAGGCCTAGTAATTGTGCGAAAGTCCTTGATAAGAAACAAACTAGGTAATAAGATGATTAGTCACACAAGTCCTTTTATCTTTGCAGAGAGCAATAAGCAAATCAGAATCAGAACTAGGCGATGCAGGATCTACAACAGAAGTAGGCAAGGTAGGATCTGGAGTAGAATTTGGAATAGCAGGGTTAGGATTACCTGTACCAGAAGAGGGCAATGGCAGGGTAGCATGTTAAACGTGAAGCTCGGGCTGAGCTACAAGAGGAGATGTTGAGGATAGAATTGGTGCAGGCCGAGCCAAAGGTGAGAAAGTCACTGATGGGAGTAGAAGAAGATGGAACCTGCAAAAATGATGTGCCAAAGAAATGAATATCTTCGAAAAAGGTGACATCAAGAGAATGAATCCGACGAGTGGTAGGTTCAGAACAATGGTACCCTTTCGACATAGTTAAATAACCTAGAAAAAACGCAACAAATAGCTTTATCATCAAGCTTCGTACGTATAGGATATCGGTCCTGAACAAAACATGTACATCAAAAAACACGAGGAGTAATAGGGAAAAGGGTGATGTCTGGTCGCAAAATATGTAATGGAACCTACCCCTTAAAGTTCAACTAGGGGTTATGTCTGGTCGCAAAATATGTAATAGAACCTACCCCTTAAAGCTGCAATGAGAACTACCATATTCCAAAAAGATTGAGAAACATGCATACCACGTAAAAGACACCGAACAACACTCATGAGATGACGATTTTTACGTTCCGCCACTCCATTCTATTCCGGTGTATAAGGGTATGTCAATTAATGAAGAATCCCCAATTTATTATAATGAGACCGAAAATCATTACAGATTTACTCCCTCCAATAATCTAACTGGATGGTTTTAACCTTAGTCATACAATTCGCGTGTGAGGCTCACGTTCCCAAGCTCCGTACACGGATCGACGAGTTGGGAGCAAAATCGTGTTTAATTCGCGAACTCAGTTTCTGAATTCGCGAATTCAATATTTGACCCACAATCCGTGAGTATCCGCGTGTATCCACATGCAGAGCCGCCAAATTAATCGATCGGAGGCTAGGCTTCGCTTCCCTTTGCCTTTGTATCATCACCAGACTTGAGGTTGACTTAGACATCTACAATTTCTTCTTCATCGAACTGATCGATCGAAGGCTTCGTTTGCATCATCAACGGAATTGAGGATTGATTTAGACATTCACAAAAGTCTTTGATTAACTGATGCAAATGACCCTTTCTCTTCAATTAGACATCTACAATTGCTTCATCACTAGATTGATTGATCAGAGGCTTAGTTCGCTTCTGTATCATCATCGGAATTGAGGATTGAGTTAGACGTCTTTGATCAACTACGCGAATGAACCTTTCTCTTGCTTAGTGTTAGGGGCCTTGCCGCTACTTTGCTTGAATGAGATTGGGTTAGGTCGTATCTAGTAAAATGAGGAGCGAGGGATTAGGGTTATGCTTATGAAAATGGACTATGGGCCTAGTAAGTAGATTTGGACTTAGGGATGTTTTTTTAAAAGCATAACATTGTATAAACATAATTGGGTTGGACTAGTTTGGAATTTTGGGCTAGGTTTAGTTATGAACTGAAATAAAATAAATGGCTTGTGGTGAGTGGATGCCCAATTGTATGGATTAAAATATAAATGGCCCTTGTTTAGGACATGGGCCTGGTTAGACTTTTATTATATAGGCACTCTTTGAGCACAATTTGATGTAATGCATTAAGCGAGATAGTTATTTGTAAGAAATAAATGTAGACAATACTTCAGAGCATGATTTAAGTAAATAAACCCAAGTACAACGAGAGTAATCGTCAATAAACAAGAATTGAAGATGTCCCATAGGTGTACAGCCCGTCCCTCTCATACCCCCTATCAGGAAAAAAATTCACTGTGCAAGAAAGAAAGTCACTGCGCAGGCCAATGAATGAGTTAAACGGCTAACAGATAATAAGTTAAGGGAAAGGTTAGGAGTATGAAGAACAAACTTTAAAGATAAATCAGGAGATAAAGGGGCAGTACCCTTACTAATGATCGGTGTAAAAGAATCATCAGCAAGGCTTACCTGCCCGAAGGATGCTTCCATATCCTAAAAATATAGAGACTCACCAGTCATGTGATCGGAAGCACCAGAATCTATGACCCAAGTTGGAGGAACAGTACCAGACTGAAAGGCATGGAATGCAAATGGGGTATCTAAGTGAGATGCAGTTGATGTAGCTGATGGGAGAGCTGCCTGTGATAAATGATCTCGGATAATAGACCCAATTTGTGTATGCAATTAATGCATATCAATACATCTAGGCGGAGGAGCATGTGGTGCATGGACGCCAAAAGACTCGGCAATAGCAGCAGTAGAAGAAATTGTAGTGCTGCTAGATCTGAGGTGTGGGTAGAGCTGGAAGCATCGATCCTTAGTGTTAGCAGATATGATAGCCACGATTTATTGAATGACTTACCATATTAGCAGAGATTTGATTATGCTATAAAATATGCTGTGATTTTATTTAGATTTGATTTAATTTCGTTTCTTGTAATATGAGCATATACTCTTTTTATCTATAAATACTAGAGCTGTGAATGAGTGATTCATCTCATTCAAGCCTGTACACAAATCTCTCATTCTTCTTCTTTTTATATTTCTTCTCAGTATCAAAGCCAACACCTTTCCACACCTTTCAGCAGCCTTGCTACTTGTGTGACAGCCACCTTAGGCTATTTATGACATCGTGTGACGTAGCCTACACATGTTTTCCTATGTTACTGTTTTGTAATCGAAAACAAGTATTTTTAAGTTTTACAATTTATTTTCTACTCTTCTAGGCTTGGGTAAATTGGGATAGTTAGTCTCCAACACCTAGAAGGGCTTAGGTTAAAAA